CGGCGCCCCCCGCCCCGACCTCCTCGCCGACTCCCGAACGGCCGCCTCGCTCCTCTCGCTTCCTGCCGCGTTGCCGCCCGGCCCTCCCCCTGGAACATCACTCTGAGTGACGACACCACCAGCCAATGGGCTCTCACATGCTGGGGAGGGGGCGTCCTGCAGCACCGCCCCCGGGGAGAGGCGAGGTCCCGCCCCCCTGGACCGAGCGCCTGCGCAGGTGCGTTTAGCTGAGGGGGCGTCGGTGCCGGCGACGCCCAGGGCTGACGTTTTCCTGCCCGTCCGCTCTCTGCAGACTGGCTCGCCCCCTAGGGAACCCCTGCCTGCGGGCAGGATGGAAGAGGCTCTGGCCCGGCTGACAGTCGCCATGGTAACCATCCTGGAGTCACGATGACGTCACTCGGATGTACTCACCCCACGCCCGTCCCCGCTTCCCCCAGCTCCGAAACTGCCCGGGGGGTGCGGACGGGGATGGAGGGGGTGGCAGACGGGGCGGGACTCGGAGTAGAAACCCCTCTCCCTTCTCCAGGCCCGCCGGAGGCTGGAGGGCTGTGAGATCTGAATTCCACTGAGGAAATCTGCCTTATAGAAGTTCTCTCAGGCATTGTCGTTTAAGATCAGTGGTTGGTGTGGAAATCTCAATAACATTTAAAATGTGTACAAGTTGTGAGATGACGTAGCACTGCAGGTTTGGGGACACTTCGCCTCCTAGGATGGGCGACTGAGCCATCTTGGGAAAGTGAAAAACCTAGAAATATTCTTGTTCTTCAGCTCTCTCTTCTCATCGTTTTATCTGGCTCTAGAAGGCAGACAAAAATCTTCGTGGCTCTGACCCAGACTGCAAGGAATGGCTTTCCATGGAGAATGCTTCTGTTAACATGTGAGCTCACGACAGCTTCGACTCATCTGGGCTGCACGTTTCCAAGAATGAAAGATGGCGGGTGTTAAATTTCAGTAAAAAGTGCAGACCGTTTTTAATCCACAGAGCATTTTTCAGCTAATAACCAAACGGAGCAACAGCGTTAAACAGGCAAAACTTTTGAGTTTGGCCGCTAGAGGTCCCTTTCTGCACGTCTGATGCCCAACTTTCCACATAAAGGGTTAGGGTTAGGGTTAGAATTAAAATCTATAGATCTTTGGTTTCTCTCTTCTCCCTCCCTGAAAATTCCTGACGGTAAATTTTGAGCTCTAAAAGGTAGGTAGAATTTTCAAATTAATTTCATGAATTAATCATTGCACTGCCATGTGTACATATTTTTCTGGAAAAGCTTATAAAGGATGCAAAAATATTCCTCTCATTTCCCTGGGAGACATTTTATACTGGGAAATATTCATGTATTGTATTCACTTACAACCAGGCACAGTGAAAATCATTAAGTATTCATAAGCCAGAATTCCATGCCCAGTGTTTGAAACATGAGCTAGGTTCTCTACCACGGCCATATGTCAGCAATCCTATTATAATAAGGGAAGCGTTGAGAACTCTTCTTACTGAAATCCATTTGTTCAAAGTAGTATCTACCTTCTCCTGTTACCAGGCTGGAAAATTTCTTTGACTTTCAGGATAAAGTGATTTATCATGTAAGGACTTTTGGTATATAATCTTCAGAGGAGACACCCCTGCCCCAATTTTCCTTCATAACTCTGGCCTTGAGAATTGTGTAGGAGTGCTGTCTTAATGAACTGTTTGCTCACTTGGTATGGAGAACATTAAGCATGTTCTGAACCTCAGAAGATGTTGGATGGTGAAAATGTAAATTATTATTTTAATGGCCATTCCCCTAAATATGGCTCCAGATCAAATATTAACTATTTTCTAATGTTTTGCAGGAAGAGACTATGCATCTGTACTTCGCATAACTTCGATTTTTTAAATTTTTATTTATTTAGCAGCTGGTTGGTACTGGGATCTGAACCCGTCATCCTGGTGTCATAAGGCTGCTTTCCAGACAACCAGGCCAACTGCCCAGCCTCAACATAAATTCAATTTTAAACTCTTGTTGTCGGCATAGCTATTAGAAGCAGGCCAAAATAAAATCTCTCGGGACAATTTACGAGATTCTCCTCAAGGGGAAAATCCAGGTGACAGGTCAAGGCAACAGTTTACCAACAAAGCAAGGAGGATACAGGAAGGTGAAAAAAGGATGGGGGTAGAAAGGATCATAGAAAAACAAGAAAAGACTAATTTAACCCCTCTTTCCAGGAGAAAGAATCAAACTAGGCTCAGGTGGCCCCCTTTGGCCATCTGTTCTTTGAAGACTATTAATAACAAATTTAAAATGTGCTTTTATTGGTCCCATTAACTTTTGGTACCACGCAAAGCATAGGTTTAAAAATATTTAATGATTAATAGTAATGGGAACTCAATTTTGGCATCATCCTTAGTATTAACAGGGTTATATTAAAAACATATAGAATTAGTAACTACTAAAATAATTGATCTGGAGGAATCTTTTCGTTTCTGTTTAAGTGGTATTTAAAGATACCAGGAATTTCTTGTCACGGTACCAAACAGGTCCCGCACGATAACGCCTGTCGAGAGGATGACGTCCAGCCGCGACATGCTTTATTCTCCTCAGAACGCACAGCGGTGTTGGTTTCCTCATCTGCTTGCAGCTCGTGTTTCCTTTTGTAAGTTCACGTCTCTGTGCGGCACCGTTCAAGGTGATTATCACCACGGTCCTGGGAAGATCACCAAATCTGCCCACTCCTGCAGAACTAGTTTACGGCGTCACACGCCTCGGAGCTCCCATTGTTTCACACACGTTTCCTGGGATGGGACGGGCTAGAGGATTACCGAGAATGGCCTCTCTCGTCGTCCTGTCATTCTTGCACGAGCTGTCTAGGACAAGCGCCCCGACGGTCCCCGAGGCCAAGGTCTGGCAGGGGCCTCCGAACGCCCGGGCACGTGACCGGCGCGCAGCTCCCCAGTTCCCCAGTTCCCCAGGTCCCCGCGGGCCGGGTGCGCTCGGCGCC